TGGACACAGGGATGCCTGAACCCGGGCACTCAGAGTTTATAGCTCCAGATCCCAGTTGAGTGGATTCTAGGGGGTGCTGGAAAACGCCTCCAAGATAGCACCCAGGGCAGTTTTACAGAGTCGGGGAAATGAGGACTTCATATTCTGTGAACTCCCAAGCTACCTGGAGCCCTGAGACCTGGCCCCGTCCTCAGCCTGAGCCTTAGGTCCATGCTGAGCTGTGAAACAGGCCTACATGAAGCCTCCGTGTTTGCCCCAATCCTTGCTCCAAATGTGATCCCTTTGTTGGCCCTTCCATCCATCTAGGTAGAGGAGTCTTCAGGTATCCTGTGCTGTGACGTGTCCTCTGACAACCAGTATCTGGTCATGGGCTCTAAGAGCAGTGCCATCATCTATCAGCTGTTGTATTAAAGATGGCATGCTATGACCCTGCCAGTGAAGGCCTAGTATTTGGGTGGGTGTGGCTGAGAGGATGGCTTCAGGGTGCTGGACACCTCTAATGCCTGCTGCCACCTCTGCCTTGGCTTTAGTGGCAGGTCATCCCTCCCCTCCAACACCCCATTCTCAGCCCACACTCCCAGATTTTAATCAGATAACTTGGAGCTTTTTCCTTTGTTATCTTTCTACCACCGATTTCTGGGTTTTGGCAGGAAACTTGAAATCCCTTTGTAATGAATAAAATAGCAAAGCAGAAAACAAAATGGTCTGTATATGTGTCCCTTTCTTTCAAGTCACAAACTCGTTGTGATGGATTGCTTCTGCCTTCAGCAAATTCCAGGTGGGGAGGGAATTTTAGACCAGACTTAGTTTTGTTTGTAAACACTTTTTTTTTAAAGTGGGAAATTTTTGGAATCTTAAAGCTCAAGAAATGTAAGTCCAGGTGCTGACTTTGAGATTTTATCAGGGTGTTGACAGACCAGCAGTGCTCACCTCTTGACTCAGGTAAAAGTGCTGGCACTGGTCTAGCCATGTTCTGAGGCCTGGCTCCCTTTTTGTGCCTAACTTCAGTGATAGAGAAACTCCCTGTTCATGCCACTTCACTGTCTCCGACTCCTTAAAAGTCCTGACGCTAATTCTGATGTTTGGTGCTAATCAGAGCTACCTAGCTCACTGTTTCAGAACACCTTCCTCGTGTTTGAGAATTTGACAATGTAGTATTATATCTGGGCTTCACCAGGCAGGAAAGGTCCCAGCTCTTGGGAAAAAAAAAAAAGCCATATAGGCCTGCTTTCTAGTCTTCTTCCATCAGCGTCCTCTTTTTGGGTTGGTGTTTGTACAGCTGAGACTGCTAGCTGCCCACTGAAGTTCATGGCTTGGAGTTTTCCCTGGGAGGAAGCTGCAATGCCAAGGGCCAAGTTGCCCATCCTTTGCAACATGTAGACGTTGTCAGGAACTTAGTTCTTGCCAGTGGATTGTGAGTGAATAACATGTGTCAGCTTTGGGCCAGGCCTAAAGGAGCAGGACTGTTCCCTCCAGGGTCTCCTTCCCCTTCCACCAGCTCAAGGCAAATAATGTGGAGGCCCCAGGGCACTGCAGAACCACAGGGTAGAAGCATCCTGTGTGCATGAGTCAGACATGGAGAAAAGCTGCCCACCTTGGGCTATGGCATGGAAGAAAAAGAAGCTTGTATTTGACCTGTTGTTGATGTGGGGGTCTATTTGTTACTACAGCTCTGGAAATAGCAAACTTTTTCTTAAGTAGCCAGAGAGTAAATATTTTAGGCTTTGCTATATGACTTTTGTGGCAGCTGTTCAACTGTGCTATTGTTATAGCATGAAACTGGCCATAGATAATACCTAAGTGAGTAAGTGTGAGTTTTATAAACTAAGCTTCATAAAAACAGCCGTGGGACAGATTTGGCCTGTTGGGTGTAGTTTGCAGCATCTGCTATACCCAGTGCACCTCTAAATAATGTAGTAGTGTAACTGGGATCTATTAGATATGATACAGAGGGTAGAGACTACCAGTAGATCTATCCTATTGGGCTATAGTAACAAATAGACTCAAATCTATAACAAGTGCTCATCGATGAATGAATGAATATACAAAATATGGTGTGTGTGTATGTATAGACACCCAAAATGGAATTTTATTCAGCCTTGAAGGAAATTCTGACACGTGCTACAACATGGATGAACCTTGAGGACATTATGCTAAGTGAAATAAGCTGGTCACAAAAGGACAATACAGGCGTTTGATTCTACTCATATGAGATATTTAGTCAAATTCATAGAGACAGAAGGTGGATTGGTGGTAACCAGGGGCTGAGGAGAGGAGGTATGGGGAAACACTGTTTAATGGGCAGAGTTTGTTTTGCAAGGTGAGAAAATTCTGAAAATGGATGGTGGTGGTGGTTGCACAATAATGTGATGCATGAAATACCACTCGCTATATAATTAAAGATGTTAAGATGGTACATTTTATGTTATGTGTATTTTAAACAAAGAAAAAAATCTAGGGAATTATGAAGATCAAATTCAGAATAGTAGTGAGCTCTAGGGACAGAGGGGGATAAATCTGATTCTAAAGGAATAGAAAGGAGCCTCACCTCTATGTGCAGTATTCATTTTTAAAAAAATAAATCAAGGTTCATCAAAATTTAAAATGTGCTTCAGAGGACACCACAAGAAACTGAAAAGATAACCCACTGAATAGGAGAAAACATTTGCAAATTATATTTCTGGTAAGGCACTTGTATCCACAATATATAAAGAACTCTTACAATTCAGCAACAAAAAGATAACCCATTTTTTCAAAGGGCAAAGGGTTTGAACAGACACTTCTCCATAGAAGATATACAACCGCCAACAAATACGTGAAAAGGGGCTCAACGTCATTCGCCATTAGGAAAATGCAAACCAAACCCAAGGGAGATATCTCTTATCATCAGCTAGGATGGCTAAAGTGAAAAAGATGGTAACAAGTGTTGGCAAGGATGTGGAGAGATTAGAATCCTCATATGTTGCTGGTAGGATTGCAAAATGTTGCAGTCACTTTTTAAATGTTTGGAAGTTCTTCAATATGCTAACAAAGAGTTACCATAGGATTCAGTAATTCCACTTCTAAGTATAAATCGAAGAGAATTAAAGACACACAAGTTGGGAGGGTAATAATTGGGAGTGAGAGTACAAGAATTTTAAAATGCTTTCTGGAAATAAGATAAAAGTCCCAATTAATAGCAGTGTTGATAAATCAAGGAGTAACATTGTAATCTCTAGGTTAATTGCTAAAAGAATATTAAACAAGTGTACAGCTTCCAAGCAAAGAGGGAAAATACTGAAGTAATATATAATAATGATTCAAAAAAAAAAAAAGAAAAAAGGAACAAAGAAGAAGCAGAAAAGGAAATGCTTACTGAAATGATAGATTTAAATCCAAATATAGCAGTAATTCTATTAAATGTAAGTGGATTAAATATTCCTGTTAATCTGTAGAAGTCATAACAATTTAAAAAATCTCAACTGTGTTTGAAGATACATTAAAACATAAGGGCACAAGAAAGTATAGCAAGAATAGAAAAAGATACTTTCTGCACAAATCAAAGAAAGTTGATGTTATATTAATATTAGACAACATATACTATAAAACAAAAATTTGAGATAAAGGTGAACACTCCATAAGTGTTCAATTCAGGTTCAATTCATCAGGAAGACACAATAATTCTGTTTTTATGTAGTTATTTAGCCTCAAAATACAAAAAGAAAAATCAACAAATTAGACAAATTTATGTCTGACAGTGACCAAGAGTTCAAACAGACAAAAAATTTTTAAGGGTACAGAAGCTTTGAATAATATAATTAGAAAACTTAGAACAAGACACACAACCACTACAGAATACACACACACACACACACACACACACACACACACACAGAGCATTTACAAACAACCATATACTTGAGCCACAAATTTCAAAGGATTTAACTTTTACAGAATATATTGTTTGACCACAATGCAATTAAGATATAAATAATAAAAAGAAAACTAGAATTTTCCTATTTTGGAAATTAAGAAAAACTTCTAAATAACGAATAGAGAATAAAGTACAAAATAATTAGAATCTATTGTAATGAAAAATATGGATTCAGCTAGAGCTAGAATCAGAGCTTGTCATTCAAGCCATGTCCCATCCCCATCTCCTGGATCTCTTGAGGTTGGGTGTTGACTGTGTGGGTCTTCGTGGCTCTTGAAAGGTGGGTCTGGGATGGAGCGAGGGTGGAGACAAGGCCTTTCTCCTAGCAGGTGAAGGTCGGGGAAAAGGAGATCGGGAGTAGTCTAGGAGACTGATTTTCACAGATGTTGCAAAAGGAATTTACTCAATTTAGCTCTCATCAGCAATGCTTAGCGTCCATTTGCCTACATTCAGGCCAACATGTGTGTTTTCTCATTTTAGAGTTTTTTTTTTTTTTTTTTTTTTTAAGAAAAAACAAAAACCAAAAAACCCAGGCTGGAGTGCAGTGGTTTAATGACGGCTCACTGTAGCTTCAGCTTCGACCTAAGTGATCCTCACCTCAGCCTCCCGAGTAGCTAGGACTAGAGGCACGTGCCACCGCACCTGGCTATTTTAAAATTTTTATTTGTAGAAACAGGGTCCCATTGTATTGCACAGGATGGTCTCTAAATTCCTGGGTTTAAGCTATTCTCCTTCCTACCTTGGCTTCCCAAAGTGTTGGGATTACAGATGTGAGCCAATGCACCCGACCTCATTTGTGGATTTCAATTCCTTGGAGAGGGGACAATGGCCATTCCTCTGGCTGTGATCTGAGTTTCTTTTGTTGTGAGCGAGGTCGAATCTTTGCGAGTTTACCTAAGCATGTACTTACGAAGTCGTGTGGCTGGGTCCCACTCTCCTGTACACCTGGCTCTCAGATGTCGACACTTCTTTACCCTCTGGTCTCTGAGGGGCACACCTACTCCTTGCCCACGGTTCAATGTGCTTTGCAGGGTGACATCCCTCTAGCGGCTTCTAACCACCTTTGCTGCATATTTTTTCAATTTGTAAAGCAGATTGTAGCACAACAAAACAAGTGCCCTCTCTGAGGCTCGAACTCAGGACCTTCAGATTATGAGACTGACGCGCTGCCCACTGCGCTAAGAGGGCCTTCGCTTAGGGGTGCTTTCTACCTTTCATAAGAAAATACCTGCAGCACCTTCCGCTCGCTAAGTCGCTTCTGCAAGGTCGGGCTTGCAGGCAGAAGCACCTGGTCTCCCCCAGTGGGGACACGTGGGAGGGTCTCTCGCGGGAACGGAGCAGCCTGGGCTCAGGGAACGAGCCCCGCGCCGGGAAGAAAGCTGCCTGCCGGGAGCGCATCCTCGTGAGGACCCGGAACCCGAGCCGCCGCGGCTCACCCAGAGGAGGGGGGGCCCTGGGGTGCGTGTGCGACGCCCGGCGCGCAGACTCTGGGCACGGCCACGTGGGGACAAGCTCCGAGGCGTGACAGGGCCAGGGCGCCGGGGAAGCAGAGGACGCGCGGCTGGGTCTGGTGCAAGCGGTGGGGGTGGCGAGGACCGGGGCGCAGGGGAGAGGAGGCTGCAAGGGGCGCCCCTAGCTGGGGTCCTCAGGCTCCAGGGCGACGGTCGCTTGAGTAGGCGGGAGATGGGCTCGCGTGGCTGCCAGTTGCAGGGTCTCAGAGTGGACTGAGGCTGGAGCGTGCGACGCCGGCCGCGGGTGGGCGTCAGGGGCGACCCCGGGGCTAGGGGTGCCTAGGGCCCTGGGGAGCAGGCGCGCGTTGAAGAAGGAAAGCAGGAGGGCGGAGAAGGGGTCTGGGGTGTGACATCTCCAGGCCCAGGCCCTGGGGTCGGGATGGGGGTGAGGTGGAAGAAGGGAGGGAGGATTCCAGAACGTGAATTCAATCGGAAAATGGAGGGAAGAAATTATGGTTGTCTTGGACTTGCCAGTTCATTTGTTTATTGCATCCCGTGTTTTTCTTTTTCTCTCTTCTTTTTCAAATCACCTTGCTTCCTGGCTACACGCAGGGGCCTTTCATTTTGAAGGGCAGTGGAGTCACGCTGCTTGCTCTGAGCAGGCCTCTACAATTATTGTCACTTGAAAAGACGACAGGAATAAAGGGTGCGGGGAGGGATGGGCCAGCGGATGAGTGGGTGGAGGGAACTCTCCCCATCTCAAGGTTCCCTCCTCACTCCTTCAGGGAAGTCACTGCCCCAGGGAGTCTTCGCCCCATCCCATTGCCCAAAACCCACTCTGGGTAAGATGACCACCTTGAACTTGTCAGCTTACTCATTCTGTAAGCCCTTGTGGCATTTTTGCTTGTTTTCACCAGATAACCCATCATATATTTCAATACCTGAAAGGACTAGTGTCTTCCCCCCCAAACCCGCACGCACACGCCTGCTCTTCTGTACAGGGCTTCAGTGCTCCTTTGGGAACTGGTTTTGGGTGATTTCTCGCACAGCTGGTCACTCTGATTCTTCCTTCACTGATCTCGTAGGGCACTTGGTGATTAGTACTTTCCGCGGTTTGAGGTGGTTCTCAGTTGCTCTCTCTGTGCCAGTCCTGTCCTCCATCAGACTGGGACCTCTGTGTCCAGAGACAGGATCTGAGCCCCCCCTGGACGGGCCACATTCCATGAACCCAGAGGTATGGGGAAAGGGAGGCTCTGGATCCCACCCACAAGCCATTCCATTCCCCAACCTGCTGTCTCCATTCCAGGTTCAGTGCAGGAGGAAGAGTTTGAAGGGGGGAAAGCGCATTGCCCTGCGTCTGTGGCCTGGGTGTGTTTCTCTCTGCCAGCAGCCAGCCTTGAATCTGGGGCTCCCCTCCTGTTCCTCTTGGGGACATACACACTCTTTCCTGGGGAGCAGGAGGGGGAAGCTGATGGACAGGTAGCATCCCCAGTGGAGGTGGTTCCCAGGTGTTCTGAAGAGCTGCTCAGCCAGAGAAGCTGTAGAGGGAAGGAACATAGTTTGTTCTAGCAATCCCGCTAAACACACTTTTCAAGATGTCCCTGCTCCCAACCTTCAGTGGCTTCTCCCTGCCTTTGGGGAAATATTACACAGGACCCTGCAAGGACAAGGCCACCCACGTTCTCCCACCGAGGTGAAACGGGACACACACTTCTACGGACCCATGCAGAGCTTTCCTGCCATCCTCCCCTTACCTAGTCCTCCTACGCCAGCATCTGTCATCCACAAAACCCCTTCCTTCTGGCCTCCCTTTGCCACAGTGGCCCAGAACTAGCAGGGAATGTTTTTCTTTCTTTGCTACTTTTTTGTGCCTTTCCTCTTTCCCTGAGCTGATTTTCTTAGGGGCAGAGGCTGGTATGGAGTTTTCTGAATTCCTTGCAGGAGGTTTGCAGGAAGTAGTTTTTGCGTAGTGATTTGTGAAATGTCAAGATTGGAGACAGTTCTATGTAGGATGCAGAGATCCAAGTGTTCAGTGTTAGGGGTGGGTCTGTGAGGCTGGGTGAGTGGTAAAAACAGGAGACATGGACAATGCCAGGGGCAGGGTGGCTGTGAGATGAGGCTGGCATGACCAGCGGGGAAGAGGAGGCTGTGGAAGATTGGAAGGGGTTGGGCACTGGAGCAGCCCCAGGACTTTGGTGGGCAGGGAGGGAGAAGCGGATGGGAGGCGGCAGGACCAGGGACCAGTGATAAAGGCACCACCCATGCCTTCTCTGTCTCCCCAGGCATATCTTACTGTTTTCTTTATGCCTGAAGCCGTTCCCCCTTCACACTCAGCTAAGATATAATCCCGACCGCGAGGCGTCCCCTCACTTCTTTGGCTGGCAGTTGTTTGTTTTTAGACAGTCTTGCTCTGTTGTCCAGGCTAGAGTGCAGTGGCGAGATCTCAGCTCACTGCAACCTCCGCCTCCCGGGTTCAAGTGGTTCTTGTGTCTCAGTCTCCCAAGTAGCTGGGATTACAGTTATGTGCCACCACCAGCACCCACTAATTTTTGTATTTTTAGTGGAGATGGGGTTTCACCATGTTGGCCAGGCTGGTCTCGAATTCCTGACCCCAGGTAGTCTGCCTGCCTCAGCCTCCCAAAGTGCTGGGATTACAGGCATAAGCCACCATGCCCAGCCTTTTTTAATTTTTTGAGACAGGGTCTTGCTCTGTCACCTGAGCAGGAGTGCAGTGGCATGATCTTAGCTCACTGCTGCCTCAAACTCCTAGGCATAATGATCCTCCTGCCTCAGCCTCCCTAGTAGCTGGGACTACAGGTGCATGACACCATACCCAGCTAACTTTTTTTTTTGTAGAGATGGGGGTTTCGCTTTGTTGCCCAGGCTGGTCTCAAACTCCTAGACTCAAGCAATCCTCCTGCCTTGGCCTCCAAAGTGCTGGGACTACAGGCGTGAGCCACCGCATTGGGCTCCTCTCTTACTAGTGCCCCACTGTGGAATCTTCAGGACCCTGTTGGTGAGGTCATATCAGGGGCCCAGTATACACAAGGGAATTTTTCCTCTCACTGCATGGCTGAAATCATTGACTCACTGAAGACCTACAGATTCAAGTTCCAGGAAGTCTCTAACAAAAAAGAAGAAACAAGGAAGGAAGGGAGGGAGGGAGGGAGGGAGGAAGGGAAGGAAGGGCGGGCTGAGTACCATGGCTTATGCTTGTAATCTCAGCCCTTTATGACCCCCTGTCTCTACAAAAAAATTTTTAATTTGCCAGGTGTGGTGGTGTGCACCTGTAGTTCCAACAACTCTGGAGAATGGTGGGAGAATCACTGAAACCCAGGAGGTGGAGGTTGTGGTGAACCGAGATGGTGCCACTGCACTCTAACCTGGGTGATAAAAAATAAAATAGGAGAACCTCCTGGGGTAGGTCACTAAATCCAGCACCATGCAGAGCGAAGCTGCCCCGGTCTCTGGTAGGGTTGTCTGTAATTTCTAGCCCTTCCTCCAGTGGGAAGTCTTGCATTGCATCTTACACCCCAGTACATGGCCATGGATGCAAAGGGCCCTGTGGGAGACCTGGACCGGATGCGTGACCTTAAGAATGTCTCTTCCCTCTCTGGGTTTGTTTCTCCTCCATGAAATGATGGGGTCAGCCCTGTGCACGGTTATTAGAGTAATCTGTTCCTCCCCAGGTCTGTCATGCTGGGCTGTGTGACCTTTGACAAGTGTCTTAACCTCTCTGTTCCCATAAAATAGTGATTATACCTGAATCTACTTCACTAGGCTGCTGGAGGGAGATTATATTATAGAGTGCACAGAATGAGACTAGCATAGGAAGGCAGTGGCTGATCACTGACTGTCACTGATCACTGACTTGCAGCCCCTTAGAGCTGGAGGATCCCTCCTGGCCTGGCCAAGCCCTCTCTCCTCACCACGTGGTGTGGAGTGGGTCCAGTTATTCTCAAGACCCCCTGCTAGGAAGTAGGAGTGGCTTCCAGAGATGCCAGATTTTAGGCCAGTCTGTTATATTCCCCTGGTTCCCACCGGGATAGCTGAGGAACGCCTGCCACTCACCTATGAAAAAGGATTTATTTACAGTGTAAAATTTATCATACATTTCTTTTTCTTGAAGTGAATATAACCTCAAGATTTCTATTGTCTTCATCATAAAACAAAGGGTGAAATTTAGAACTGAATCACTTGGCCCTTTCTCTTCTTATCTCCTCCCAGTTCAGAATGCTTGCGTCTCCTCATAGACAGCAGCGACTTAGATCTGCAGCTGGGCTCAGCGCTCAAGCCTTGGCACCGTCTCCTTTGTAGTTTTAGCCTTTTCCTGAAAAACCGGCTTACTCACAGAAATCAATGGCCTTTAGATATACAAACAATACTTAGGTTAGAGGACTTAAGAAAACCCCATGTATAATAGCGACAAAGAAGATTAAATACTTAATAAGAAATGTGCAAAATCTTAAAGAGGAAAATTTTACAACACTTCTAGAAAACAGAAAAGCAGGTAGAGTGGGAAAACATGCCTTGTTTTTGGCAATCACAACTCAATATCAAGATGCCCATTCTCCCGAAGTCGACTAACAAATTGAATGCCATTCCTATAAAAATACCAACAAGCTTTGTTTCTGGAGTTGATAAGTTGATACTAAAGTTTGTATGGGAAATGCACATGCTGGAATAGCCAGGGAAAAACTGACACAAAATGGGGGTCTAGCCCTAAGGCTATTAAAACAAACTATAAAGCCTCTGTAATTAGAACAGTGTGGCATTGGCCACATGAACAGGCAGACAGACCAGTGGAATAAAATAGAAAGTACAGAATAGACCTAAGTACAAACGAAAATTTAGTGTATGATAAAGGTGGTATGTCAAATCTCAGAGGCAATGATGGACTATTTATTTATTTAGTTAGTTTTTGAGATGAAGTCTCACTCTGTTGCCCAGCCTGGAGTGCAGTGGTGCAGTCTTGGCTCACTGCAACCTCCATCTCCTGGGCTTAAGTGATCCTCATGCCTCAGCCTCCCAAGTAGCTGGGATTACAGGTATGCACCACCACACCTGGCTAATGTGTGTGTGTGTGTGTGTGTGTGTGTGTGTGTGTGTGTGTGTGTGTATATGTATGGTTTTTTTTTTTGGTAGAGATGGGGTTTCATCATGTTGGCCAGGCTGATCTCAAACTCCCGACCTCAAGTGATCTGCTCACCTCGGCCTCCCAAAGTGCTGGGATTACAGGCATGAGCCACTGTGCTTGGCCCAGGCTTTTTAAACATATGCCAGTTACTGGAGGAGCAGTTGGTGGGTGGAATGTTGTGGAGTGAACAATCTAGGAGGCAGTTGGAAGTGGCTCTGAGCAGACAGGACCATTTGCAGATGAGGCGGCTGTTAAGAGGGATGGGTCAAGCGATGGAGGGTAGCTCTGTGAACTGAAATAGGTGAATTGGGAGGGGATGCTGTCGAGAGAACAGGTAAGTCCTGCTCTTACTGTGATTGGGGCTGGGAGAGGCATCTGAGCACAGATTCCTGCCCTCCAGGATATGGTACTGGGATAATGGGGTACTCTGTTTTTGAAAAAGATAAAATTAGATCCATTGTTCACAGCATATATAACGATAAACTCAAATGGATCATGAATTTAAATGTAAAAAATGAAAACATGTAAGTACTGGGGGGGAAGGTCCATGGGTGAATTTCTCTTAACCTCAGTGTAAGGAAAGGATTTGAAAGCATCACTCAGAATCCAGAAGCAATGAAATGAAAGACTGGAAAATTGAACATGGCAGAAACAAAACAAAACAACAACAAACAAAAAAACCACAAACCACAAAACACCAAAGTAACTGAAAAATTAAGAGAAAATATTTGTAACACATACCACAGACAAAAGGTTAATATCCTTAATATATAGAGAACTCTTAAAAATTGATGTACAGTGGATGAAATACTCAATAGAAAAATGAGAAAAGACTTGGACAATTCATGCATATATTAAAATGGTCCTCAAACATATACCAGTTACTGAGACAATGTTGTGGGGACAAAAATAGACACAGTTCCTTCCCCCAGGGAGTTTCCAGTTCACTGGGAAAGTCACACACTGGAAACTAACTTGAATGGGGGCATAATATGGTTAAGATTCTAGGGCTAGGCTGGGCGTGGTGGCTCCTGCCTCTAATCCAAGCACTTTAGAAGCTGAACCAGGAAGATCACTTGATCCCAGGAGTTTTGAGACCAGCCTGGGCAACATGATATGACCCCATCTCTACAAAAAATTTAAAAATTAGCCGGGCATGGTGGTGCACACTTCTAGTTCCGCTACTTGGGGGCCTGACGTGGGAGGATCACTCGAACCAGGGAGGTTGAGGCTGCAGTGAGCCATGATCGTTCCATTGCACTCCAGGATGGGTGACAGAGGGAGACCCTATCTCAAAAAATAAAATCAAGGGGTGGGGTGGATTTCATCTGAGGAGCCTGCTTGAAGGTGAGGAGGACAGTTGGTGGAGTGGAATGTTGGGGAGTGAACAATCTAAGAGGCAGTTGGACCTGGCAGTTGAGCAGACAGGACCATTGGGTAATGAGGCGGCTGTTGGAGAGGGATGGGTCAAGGGATGGAGGGTAGCACTGTGGGCCGAATTAGGTGAATTGGGAGGGGATGCGAGAGAGAGGTAAGTCCTGCACTTATTGTGACTGGGGCTGTGAGAGGCACCTGAGGACAGAGTCCTGCCCTCCAGGATCCCACGGTCCTGAGTGGAAACCAGCAAGGCCTTGATGAACTAGATGTCTGGAGAGAATGAACTTAGTGCTTTAGTGGAGGGACCAGGGGCAAGTTCCCCAAGGCTCAGACTAGAGTTGGGGCTGGTTGGGTTTCAGGGGAAGACAGACGTCCATGTGTATCTAGCGCACTGGTTCTCTGGACATGTGGCTGTGATGGTCAAAGAAGAAAACGAAGGCTCAGAACAAAGACTTGAGATTTGCTCCCACAACTGTCAGAGAAGGAGTTATGGAAGGAGAGCATGGCCTGAGGGTCATGGAGCTGCCAGGGTAGAGTCTTAGGCAGTCTCACATTGGAGACCACAAGAAAGAGTAGTCAGGAGAGGGGTTCTTGAGCCAATGATCAGATTCAAGTCCCTGTTATGCTCATGTGCCAGCTCTGCCCTTGAGTTTTCTCATCTTTAAATTGGGGAATGAATCAAACCCATCTCAGTGCATGACCGTAGGACCAAATTAATTCATACATGCAAAGTGTTTTAATATGGGCAAAGTACTTAACAAACACTGCTGTTAATTAGGGGGCAAGAAGAGATTGAAGGAGCAACTCGGGGGCTCCAGAGAATACTAAGAATACTACGATGGTGCAAAGTCATGTGTTATATGTAAATTTCGGTGCCACAAAGAAAAGTCAGTACTGGGACAAAGGATCTCTCAGCAAAGCAATTCTTTTTACTTCCTGCAGAAAGGGTATCCTCATTAGCAATCTTGCCATGAGTACAGCGGACAAAGGAAAAGCAGACATATTTATCCCTTACGCTTTTGGGGTTGTCCTTACCGCTGTGTCTGATCTCTGTTGCTTGGAGCCAGACCTCGTAATCTAAACTAAAACCCAACTGGCTAATAACTTAAAACTTTTCCAAACAGATAAAAGTAACGGAGAACAAAAAGAAGTCCAAATAAAGAAGGGGCATAGGCTGCGAGCTGGGACATGCCTGTGAGCACGTCCAGCACAGATACCTTGGTTAAAGTACAAGGACATAGAATGTACTACGTGCCTGTGAGCATGTCTAACAGCCACATAGACAGGGCTTAACAAAGAGCTATGAGCAGAAAGCAAGAAGGCTTTGAAGAAAGTGTTTAAAACAAACTGTAATTTCTATACTTATGATTTTTCTTAAATAAGAAAGGAAACTTTGAAGAGGAACTTTTCTACTGCCTGCATCATGGAAGTCCTGGGAAAAGCAGGTAGAATGGAGTCACCATCACATTGAGCTAGATGCTGGGTAGGTAACATGAATTATCACAGGTGTCACTGTAGTCTCTGGAGGGAATTCCTATGGCCATCCCCACCCCACAGTGCAACGAGCTCAAGGTCACAAGAGTATGACCCACTTTTCCTGTTCTGATCTTAAGTTTTATTTATTATTTTACTTTTTTGGAGATGGGGTCTCGTTCTGTCACCCAGGCCAGAGTGCAGTGGTGTGATCCTGACTTACTGGTGTCTCCCAGGCTCAAGCAATCTTCCCACTTCAGTCTCCCAAGTATCTGTGACTACAGGCACATGCCACCACACTTGGAGATTTTATATATATATATATTTGTATTTTTTGTAGAGACAGGGTTTCACTAGGTTGCCCAGGCTGGTCTCAAACTCCTGATCTCAAGTGATCCGCCCACTTCTGCCTCTCAAAGTGTTGGGATTACAGGTGTGAGCCACCACGCCCAGCCTGGACCTTCAGAATGAAATAGCCCTTGGGTTAAAGGCTGGTCTCCCTTAGAGATGGTCATTTGCAGGGCACCTTCCAAGGGCTAATGCTCTGGCAAAGGCTGGTGACCTCGAGATGAATGAGCCTTGAGCCACGTCATCAGTCAGCCCTCAGGATGAGGGATCCTGTAGCCTTTCTCTTCGTTGCATCATCTCCAAAACACGACAGGACTGATGCCGAAGGTCTTTCCAAGGCCCAGACTCCTCCCCCGGCTCAAACACCTTCCATGACTCTCTGTGGCCTCCAGCCCAGAGTCTGAATTGGCTCTACCTGGCCCAAGTGTTCTGACTGCTTTTAGGGTCTGGTCTGTGCCCTGAGGCCCTGTCCCATCTCAGCTTTATCTCCCACAACTGCCCAGCCTTTACCTATGCCCTGGTCCTGTGGATCCTTTCTTGCGTATCAACACCCTACATTCATCTTGGTCTTTTGGTCTGAAATGCAGCCCCTCCCTCCACCAGCCCCTGAAACCTAACCCACCCTCCTCCTGCACCCCTCAGACTGCAGGAAGTCTTCCCAGGTTGCAAATCCAAACTGGTCTTTTTCTCCCTTCTCTGTTTTCCTAGATTTGGAGATGGATCTAGTACATGACTCAAGGTAAGAGGTTGTGTTTGGCTGATACCACCTGTGTGCGCCTGGCGACAGAGTGAAACTCTTGTCTCAAAAAAAAAAAAAAAAAAAAAAAAAAAAGATGTTAGGATGGCACCCCGGGGCCACTGAACCAGAATTTGTAGGGGTGAGAACTTGGTTTCGGCAGTGTTTAAAGCTCCCCGAGTGAATCCTGCGTGCCGCCAGGACTGGGAACTGCTCCCCCTCGTGGATGGAGAACTTCAGCAAATGGTTTTCAGGCAACACTTTTTGTCTCTGCTGCCCCCTTGCGGCTATCTCGTTCACCAACAGTCAGATCTCAAGCCCTTTTTCTAGAGAGATGGAATCGCAGAGCAATTAGGAAAATAATGCCGCTGCATGTGGTGGACAGGCTTCCCTGAGACCCCGAGACCCCAGCACCCACCGTGCCATGGGCGGGCTCCTCCTCTGCCCTGATGCTGAAGACGATTCCTTAAACAAGGGCCTTGCTCCCAGTGTCCTGGAGGTAGCCCACATGAATAGGGAAAACTCTGGGTGGGGCAGGAATGGAAAACAGCCGGGGGCCCTGCAGCCGGCAACTGAGACAGAGGTTGGATAGAGCAGGTCCAGGAGAAACTTCCTAGGAGAAGGTGTGCCCTGAACTCAACCCTCAGCTCTCCTGAGCCACAAAAAGCCTTAGATGCCGACGTGAGGTCTGGGTTGCTTGACGGTAAGCCAGCAGGGGGCACTCTGGCGCCACATAGTTCCCAGGTCGGGTCCCCTAGTCTTCGCCCTCTTGACTGGGAACTGTCCACCTCGGTGCAGGATGCCCCAGGTGCAATGTAGCAGCTCAGAGGCCCTGGGCGTGGCTGTCTGCAGCTGGCTGGCTTCGCTCTGTGCCAGGTGCACGGTCAAGGAGACTCCCATGCTTACAGCCTGCTGTCGCTGGGATGAGAAGTAGGAAGGTTCTGATGCTGCTGCCCATTCAGAAATGCAAAGTGGCCCAGTCCATGAGCACAGGTCTCGTCCCTACTGTGCCCTGACTGCTGTGTGATCTTGACACATTCATCTCACCTCTGCGGGCCTGCTTCTCCCTCATCCAAAGCATCCCCCAAGCCATCCTGGGCTGTGGTGCTGCTCTCCGGGCAACATGGAGTTGGACTCATGGTTAGTGGGGCTCATGTTGCCCTTAGCGGGCCAGACTCAAGGGAATCAACTTTTTTTTTTTTTTGTCTTCTGCTGTAGGGCCTGGTTCTGGGCTGGACTTTTCCCATCCTCTTTTCAAAAGCCACCTTTGTACAATTATGGGGATGAGATTCAGCCCAGGAAAGGAGAGAGGACCCTCCTAAGAGATTGATCCTGAATAGGGCTCAGCTGGGGACAGGAAGACCTCTTTTCTAGCCAAGCTGTAATCCAAGCACTTTGGGAGGCTGAGTTGGGAGGATCACTTGAGATCAGCCTGGCCAACATGGTGAAACCCCATTTCTACTAAAAATACAAAAAGAATTAGCTGGACGTGGTGGCGCATGCCTATAGTTCCAGCTACTTGGGAGACTGAGGCAGGAGAATCACTTGAGCCTGGGAGGTGGAGGTTGCAGTGAGCCAAGATCCTGCCACTGCACTCCAGCCAGTCTCAAAAAACAAAAAACCAAAAAAACCAAAAAAACCCTCCCCAAATCCGTTTTCTGTTAGTTGACAAACGCACTAGACAACAGGACACATTAGTACTGACTACATGACTGCCCTTTGTGAGAAATATCCAGAGATGGGTGCACATCTGAGTTGAATGGGGTTTGTCCTGGGGAGAGACGGGACTGAAAGGAACAGCAAGGGGGTTGGGGAGCTTAGCTTTAAAATAATGTTTTGGCCAGGTGTGGTGGCTCTTGCCTGTAATCCCAGCACTTTGGGAGGCCAAGGCAGGTGGATCACTTGAGGTCAGGAGTTTGAAACCAGCCTGCCCAACAGTGAAACTCTGTCTCTACTAAAAATACAAAAATTAGCCTGGCCATGGTGGTGCATGCCTGTAATCCCAGCTACTCGGGAGGCTGAGGCATGAGAATGGCTTGAACCCAGGAGGCAGAGGTTGCAGTGAGTGGAGATGGTGCCACTGCACTCCAGCCTGGGCGATAGAGTGAGACTCAGTCTCAAATAATAATAATGATGTTTAACTCATTTAAAAAATGGGTTTGGTGTACCTATGGCAAATGGCACCTGCTAAATCTGGTTGGCTGTTGTTTTCTGAAAGACAGATTTGAGACTCGGATATGTGTATTTGCAAACTCGAAGACACATGCACTGCTGAAGGCAGTCTGGTGTAATGCAGTTTCTTGATTGCCACCGGCTTCCGACAGAGTTGCAGGTGTTGTGTTGGGTGGTTTTCAATAGCAATCAGACCAAAAGGGTGACTACTAGGCTGTGAAGACAGAGGATGAGCTTCCTGGGGTCAAATTTTTGAGCTGGGAAGTCAGTCCCAGGCCATAGTGTCCAGCCAGAGGAGGACAGCAAGCTCGACTCCTGCATGACCACTAGCTCACCTGGTCCAAATGCAGCCTCTGGCTAAAAGGCAGAGACAGACTGAGGGAACTGGAAAGAGGTTCAATGGAGGAAAAATGAGGCAACCTCAGGGATTCACTTTTACTCTCATTTCATTAAGTTCTAGATATTGGCAGACCGCTGGCCTCCCGAGGACCACAGGAAGGGGCCTGGCAGACTGGTGATCCCAGTCAGAGATGAAGAGGGTCCAATTAAGAGGAGCCGACTGATGCCTGGAGGTTTCCTCCCCAGGAGCGGCGAGCCTGTCAGAGCTGCACCTGGGCCTTTCTGTATCTGGGAGAGAGTCTGGGCATGATTGGCTGGCTTCCCACCAACACATGGGGCTTGAGGAGTGCACTGCCTCTGTTCCACGCCTGATGTCATCCACATCCACACCTGTGCATCTGGCCAGGAGAGTGACTATCACTGTTGAGGGCAGTGTGATGTGGCTGGCTAGATACTTCTGATGGTTTCTCTTGAGCTCAGCCTTTGCACTTCACCTGTGTGAGCCAGAGGGAAAGCTAGGGTGGAGATGGACCATCCTGGGTAAGCTGGGATCCCACAGTGAGATTCCACACCACGGGGTGTCAGAACCTCGAGTGCTGGTGGCAGCTGTGGTGGGGGTGGGGTGGCATTCCTGTCCTTTGCCACTCATTGGCTGTGTCACCTTGGAAAAGTTATCTAAACCCCTTGGTGCCCCAGTCTTCTTTGTCCCATGGCAATCTGAGTAGTCCAGACCTGGTTGGATGACTCTGAGCTTTCATTGAGGTCATATATGCAAAAAGTTTTTTTCAGCAGCATTCTTTTTATTTAAAAAGATTTTTTAAAATGGGAATACTCACTAAAAGGAGTATCTGACCTCAATATCTTTGGGTGTCTGGGATTGAGGGGTGTTCCTGAATGGGCATCAGGGATTGATAAACCCTTGTGTTAAAGAGGAAAGAAACATGAAATGCAGCTTTAACAGTTAAAGACAGATTTACTTTAGATAAAATCCGAGAGGGGCCTTTTGGACAGGAGTGCTTTCTCTTACAGACTAAGAGTACATATTGGTTTTGGGATGAGGGGCTTTTCACAAGCTTGGAATGTTTCTGGGTTGGGGAGAAGTTTATGGCAAGGTTGGAATGTTTCTGGGCAGAGGGGAGGTTTATCTCGGGGCTGACATCTTCCCAGCTGGAGTGGGGTTATCTTGGGTCTAGCATGTCTGTGGTTGGGGAGGAGTTTGGAATGTTTCTGGTTGGAGATGTTATTTGTGGTTTATGACTATGCTGACCTTAGCCATTAGGCTGATGCCCTTAGGCTTTAGGTGGTTTTTGATTAAGGTGAATTTTAAAATGAGGTGCTAGTCCACGATGGTGAGGCTCCTGCTCTGTCATCTTGCCCCCCTAAATTGCAAAGCTTTGTTTTTGTGTATGCATATATACATTTTTTTCCCTTAGGAGCAAAGGCAATAGCTTAACTAAGATGCTCAGAGGGGTCATGATGTAAAGATTGGATGCCTGGGGCGAGGGGTGTTTCAAGTGCCTTTATTTCAGACCAGAGCTTCTCACCCTGAGGAATAATGCCATTTGGGGCCAAATCATTCCTTGTTGTTGCAGACTGACTTGTGCATTGCAGGATGATTAGCAGCATCTCTGGCTCTACCCACAAGACACCAGTAGCACCCTCCACTCCATCCCCACCTTAGTTTTGCCAATAAAAAATGTCTGTCCAATGTCTCTGGGGAGGTGGTAGGAGGACAAAATTGCCCTGACTGAGAACTGCTGCTTTGTAATGTTCCGAGTTGGAGTGAGCCCTCGATAAGTGGTTATTATTTGCTGTGTTGAAGTTTGGCAAGGTTTCTCTTCTGGACCTTGTTGATCTCCTCCTATTTCTGTGAGCTGCTTAAAGGACCCAGAGCAATCCCGGGAAAGTTGGCAACTACAGTTCTTCCAAACTCCAGCCCCATTGGATAGAAACACTGTCCTCTCATTGGTTGAGGCAGCCTGATCAACTGGAACTTGGTTCTTACTGTGTTTCTCCTTATGCAAGCCTAAAGGATCTCAGCCAGGGCAACATAGCGAGACCCTGCCTCTACAAAGAAAAAAAAAGAGACAGAGAGAAAAGAAACAAAATTCAGCAGGGCGTGGCGGCACATGCTTGTAGTCCCAGCTACACAGGAAGCTGAGGTAGGAGGATCACTTGATGCCAGGAGTTGAAGGTTGCAGAGAGGTATAATTGTGCCCTTGCACTCCAGCCTGGTTGACAGAGTGAGACCCTGTCTACACACACACACACACACACACACACCCCCTAAAGGTTTTCGAGACTATAAAGTGCAACAGAAATCTTTCAGTCCTTTACTATTAGCTAAAATATGAGCTACTATTAAATGAAACAGTTGGTTTTGTGGGGAGCAAGATCTTGAGGTAATCTTCATTTGTGGTGAATACATTTCTGTTTAACCACAAGCCTCAGTGGCTCCTCTTTATGAGTAGTTCCTCATTCAGGGGAAAGATTGGAGAAGGTTCTTATGAGGAAGGACCAGCAGGAGACAGAGGTGGAAGAAAAGTTGGATGCATTTGAAGTCTCCACTAATTAGGAGGTGGCCTAAAAGATCCTGGGGAGCAGGGTGGGCACCTCCTTGATGTGAGGAGGGTCTCCAACACTGTTTCGGCTGCTGTTTGCTGCACCATCCTCCATGGATGGTTCGGCCCTTCTCTTGTTGGACTTCTTGTACACCTGCTCTAAAAACCTCCCCAGGAATTCCATACAACCCATGGAAGTGTTGCTGAGTAGGAGCGAGGAATCTTCCTCCAGATTTTTGAGAAGCTTTCTTTCTGGGTGACTCCAGAGCTTGCTTTGGGGCAGCCCCTCATTCACAAGTTTAGCAGCAGCGTAATTGCTCTTTGCTGAGGTTGTCCCAGGAATGGCACAGAGCACAAGAAGCAAGCTTTGGAAACACAGCTGGTGCAACAAGGAGTGCCTCTATGCCTTGGTGTAGGGAAGCAGGTCCTAGCTTTTGCCCTGAGTTGGTTGATGGCCCCAGGTATCACACAGTGTCTTTCTATTACAAGAATCAGCATGGAGTTGAATTCTAGGAGAAATGTCTCAATGGTGTTGAGCGTGGCCATTGGAGCCTCCTTTCCGGTCATGCAGACCTGGCTGTCATTTGCGCACGAAGCTGATCCTGTGAACTTGGTGCTTAAGATTCCAGTTAGCACCTTGTGATACCATGGTTGTGCCACAGAAGAAGGTAACATGTGGAGATGAACAGAGCTGGGTGAGGTGTGTGCACCGTGGAAGTGCTGCTGGCTGTTTCCAAGGCATTGAAAAGGCTCTCTGCAGAGGTGGCTGTTATCCCAGGACTCTAAATAATGACACCAGAACGTCGGTCGCCACATGGTATAGACCAAATCAGTGTTGCAGGTCATCATTGTTATCAGAAATTCTGGTTTCCCATGAGTGTGGTGGCCACAGTGTTGGAGTATCAGATTTGGAGTCAATTACCAACACGCCTCCAAGAATACATCTCATAAAGCCGGGCGCACTGCACAGAGGATTGCAGTGTGGATTATCCTAGCAGTGTCGAGTCCTCTCATTTGCTGTATGTACAGACAGCGTAGCCAATGTTGGAGCACGTCCAGCCTCCACAGGTGGGGCTCCAATCTTCTAAATTTAGCTCAGGAGAGCCAGGGAGGGATGCTGAAGAGCTGATGATTGGGCTGACCCTGGATTGACCTCCTTTGGAAATCATGGAAACTATGGGCAGCCTGTGATGCCCAGCTCTTTAAAAGAGAAGCGTTTCTTGGATGTATTGGAGAGGCCTCAGCTGTAGGTAATAGGAGGTAGGCACTGCACTGGAGGCCTCAGATGGCCCTAGGAACTAGTTTTGATGCCTCCAGTCTACAATGGAGTCTTCCAGGAAGAAGAGAAACATTTCACAGGTTTGCTGGTTATGGTTGGCGGGGTGGTTGGGGGGGGAACCTCACCCGCTAAGGAACTGGGGCTAGAACTCTAGGGGTCGAGGGTATCTTCTGGGAAGTCTCTGATGACTGTTGCTTCTCAGGGCTGTTTTGAGGGACACAGTTGGTTGAAAAGTCTTCTTCGGTGTGTTTTCCCTGAAACGTGTCTCCAGTTTGTCCTGAAACATGTCTCAAGTGACTGTGGCAAGGCCTCTTTTAACATCCTGTGCCACGGAGAGGGGTTCGTGGGCGTTCTTGTTCAGAAAGCAACCTGGGATTGTGTAAGGCCTTTCCTGTGGTTCTCACTTTTTAGCCAGGTCTTGGATTTTCTGTTTGTTTGCCTTCGCTTCCTCAAGCAGCCTCTGCTCTTACTCCTACCTGATCAGGCGTCTGTCCGCTGGGGGAAATTTTGCCGACGGCCCTCCTGGAGGCCTGTGAGATTGTACCTTCATTATCCAGATGAGCACTGATTCAATACAAGACGTGTTCAGACTCCTTCACTGTGACCCTTGCACAGTCACTCCTGCCCAGCTGGCCCAGCCTCTCACTTGGGCCTGGGAGGCTGCATCGTTTTAAACCTCCCTCTTTTTTCCTGACTCTGTTTGGACCACAGAACCATGGCTTGCTGCAGATGGCCTCCTGAAGGCTTGTGTGAGGTTTCATCTTTAATTCTTGGGAGACCATTGGCTGTACCCGGGCCTCCCCTGTTCTTCCGGATGTGGCTCAGTCACACCTCTTCTTTCCATCTGGAAGGGAAGAGGGCCGCCTCTTTTGAACCATGGCGGACAGTGTTTTGCCCTGGGTTCATCATGAGTGGGCGCGTCAGACTTTGTTCTTACCCTGAGATTCAATGGCTTTCTGACTTGTGGTGCCTTGGATGCTGGGGAGGGTGAGGCAGGCAGGGTGGCGGCAGTGAGCGATGGCCAATGGCAATGGAAATTGGGGTGTTGACCCACCAACTCTGTCTCTCACAGGTTGAGGGATCCTCTGGGTAGGGGGGTTCCCCTTTCCAGGATTTGTGGCCTCCCTGCCCTCTTGGGCCATTGTGGGGATTCACTCAGGGTGATGGCAAAAATATTAAGGGAAATATATTAAAGTTACAGAAAATAGTCACAAACATTCTTGGAAGGCCAAGAAGTTTGCACAGTTTCAGTAGAAGTTTGGGCTGAAGGCAGTCTAAATCCCCTTTGCCTTTAGTTAATAAGAAAAGCAAATAGTTTATGCCCATGAAGGAGTTCATCTGAATACCTTGTTTCCTCATGTGGTCTTAAAACTAATCTTTGAGCCAGATGGCACTCTCAGCGGGAGGTCGACTGGTGGTGGGGGGGCGGATTACCCTCTAATGGTGTTTAGGCTCGGAATCTGGCTTGTAATCTTTCTCTACAAGTGTGTCGACTTAAAGTCTCTGTTACCAAATCTAAACTGAGTAAATGAGGAGACAGCAAACTAGTCAGTGTCATAGAACTGCAACGAGTTACTTGTGAGGAGCTCACGATCCCCCGCCCACTTGTTAACTGGAAACTTGTGTCTGAGTGCATTTGTTCATTGCTGTGCAGCTGGAGTCTTTGGGACAGGCCCTTGCAGTCCATCTCTTTCCCTGCTATACTTTTGCCTGTGTCTCTGCAGCTTCTTAACAATGATTGTGGATGTGCTTTGAACTGCTTGGTTCTTGATTAAATATCCTGTCTTCTGAGCAAATATCCTGACTTCAGTGATTTCCCTAAAACCAGAGGTTAAGGAAAGTCACGGTGGAAAGGGAGTCCACGGCAGCCACCTCCTCCAGGACTCCCAGGGCCACCTGGTGAGTGGGGTGTCTCTCCCTGAGGTGGTGTCTCTGGGCACAGCTCACACCCCTTTGGCCTCTGCCCTCTGGGTGCCCACAGCAAGCCCTGACCCTCTGTCCTGTCCCCACTGTCCCTGCCTTGGGTGAGAGAGGACAATTGCAGCAGGGCCAGGGGCTCTTGGGATTTAGGGTATAGCTCTGTGGTCAGGCAGGACTCTTCACAACTTTTAAAAACTCATATTGAAAACCCTTGCTTTTCCTTCACCTTGCAGTTCAGTTTGCAATCTCTGTTCAGACAAATTTCTGCAAGTTGTTTGTGGGGCTGGAGGAGCCTCTGGGTTGCTTTCAGAGCAGTTAGTGACGAGACCGATGATGACCCCTGGTCACGACAGGACACGTTAATGGGTCCCAGGCTGGAGATAAGCTCATGTCTCCACATTCAAGAGGGGGCAGGGCTGGCTTCAGGCCCTGAGCTTGGTTTAATACTCTGCTGCTGTCTTAATGATTAATTGAATAATTAAATGATTATTCATCATTTAATGCTTAATGACTTTTGAAGAAGGGGCCCCGCATCTCTTTTCAGCACTGGGACTTACAGATCATATCCCTGGTCCCAAAGAGGACAGTCCCAAGGCCGAAGGCTGTCCTGAGCTGATTGCTGGGGGCTGTGAAGTCCACGGGGACCAGCTCGGCTGAGTAGGAGGCTGGGCTTGAGGAGAGCCCGAGGGGGACGGAGGGAAGATGACGCGGTGGGGGACAGCAGGGCTTGCTCACCAAAGGGGTTGGATAGGATGAAGAGGCCGGTGTTTTGGTTGAGTTTCTGGAGGGCAGGAGCATTGCTGTGATTGTTTGCTGTATCACCAGTTGGGGCTCCTGTGTGCATGCGGGGGTTGGGCTGCCTTTGTGCCTCACCGATCCCCTGGGTGTGAGGACTTTACGATGCACAGCCTGTACTAACGCTCGAAAGAAGTTGTCCTGTGACAGCTCACGACGAAAAATGTCCTACGAGCA